CAGCAAATTGCAGGTGGCTGTGGTTGCCCACGGGCCAGGTGAGAGGGGGCACGGTGACAGCCGGAGCGGGCTTTTGTGCTCCCTGCCAGGGGGGGGATGGATACCTGGAAATAAATTAACACCAGTTTCTGGTGTATCGGATGCTGGGATTTCTCTTTAGAAGCTGAAGTCTATCGATACGTCTCACTCGTGGTTATCCAATGCTCCTCGTGGGCAAAAGGCTGGAGGGGGAGTGTGTGCTGCAGCGCTGCTGGGTTATAAATGTATTTCACGTTACTGTTGGGCTCTCCTGTGCTGATTATTTAGTTGTGGGGTTTTTTTGGGGGGTGTTGACTGGCAGAGGAGGATAAGCTGCGGAGCTGGCATAGCTGAGGAACCAGAATGCTGAGGGGAGAGCCAAGGAATAGTTTTAAAAACTAAATGAAGCCTGCTGCGGACATACAGCAGTTCTTAAACATCATTTTGGACGTGTTCTGTGTTTCCCAGGTCACGGCTGCTTGCTGTGAATAGAGGCATGAATGAAGGGAGGCCTGCTCCTCCATCCCACGAGGGCCGACGGGATGCCGGATCCCTTCCCAGTTTATTCCAGGAAAATGAAAACAGCAGGGAACGCCCGACCTGCCGCAGTGAATTTTTGGAGAGCTTGCCTGTATCTGGAAGCACGCCGAAGGGGCCGGCCGGGGACCCTTCCCCTGGCGTTGAGGGCTGCCGGCGCTGCCACGCGCTCCCAGGAGCCGAGAACCGGGCAGGGGGATCGGGGGGAGCTCAGAGGTGCCCCTCGGGCTCCCGTGGCAGGGGGTTGGGGCTCTCCCCGAACCCTCCTGTGCATAAGTCACTACGTTTAAAGGCTGTCAGAGCAGGGTGAACCACTTAAAACCAATTAAGTACCTTAATGGATCTTTCCCTGATGGGGTTTCAATTACCTTAAGTAGAAGACAGTGCGGAGCAGGAGTGCCGTTAGCCTAAAGGCAATCGTTTAGACTCCTGCTAATTGGATCATGCATTTGAAAATTACTGTGCTCCTACGGGATGAAATCTATATGGTTACTGAGATATCACTTACAGATATTTTCCAACTCAATCTGTACCTGTGGAAGATTTGCGTTTTTCTGCTTGGAATCTTCTAAATGGGACCTTCCTGCTGCGAATTTATCCTCCTTGAGATGAGCAGTACCTGAGGATGCGAACAGATTTCAGACGTGTGTATACGTTGCTGAAAGAATTCGGGGAACGCTTATTAAGAGGCTCGTATGGAATCTGAGAAGCGAGGGTGGATTTTAAGGTAGTTTTAATAAAGGGCAAACTTTAAGAGAGTTTTACTGGATCAGAATTTGCATCCTGTGTTCCTTTAGTTTGGAATCTGGCAAAATAAATTTGTTGTGAAGAAGATCAGGACAGAATCTCCTTGTAATGTTGTGAGGCACTTGGCGGCCAGTGCACAGATTTAACTGAAGTGCACGTCCTGATAGAAAACTGCTTAAGAGATTTAAAAAAAAAAAAAAAAAAAAAAAAAAAAAAAAAAAAAAAAAAAAAAAAAAAAAAAAAAAAATTAAAAATGCATGCTGTGTGAGGTGTAATAATTCATCGTGGGATCCTGATGCTTTTCTGAGCTGAAAACATCTACTGGAGGCTTTAGAAATGCTTCTTTTGTTTACATCTGAAAAATAGGGGGTTTGATAATAAAATGCCGTTTGAGCCGGAGGAAAATGTATTAAACCCATTTAATGGGTGGTGAGGCGGGGTGTCACGGGAATATTCTGGTGACATGAGCCATACTGTTTGGTTTTTTAAATGGCTCTTCTGCACCTCTGCGCCGCTTGCTACCGCTGTCACCTCCCTCCGTTCCAGGCAGCTCGGGATTGTGCGTTTAATACAGATAAGTGCAGGGGCACGTCGCTGGGCGGCCGCGGTCGCTCGGGGCAGTTTCGGGGGCTGGTGGAGGGAGGACGTGGGTTTCACTGCCGCAAGGGACCGGGCTGCTGCCGAGGGGGCTTCAGCATTTTGCCCAGCTCTCCACAGATGCATCAGTACCAGCGGGGATTTCATCTGGGAAGTCAGGGAAAATCTTCCCTAATCCCAGACGGGAGGGGGATGCCTGAGGTGCCTGGCACTAACTGAGATCTGACAGACACGCAGGGAGTAGAAATGAATCAAAATGTCATTAGAATAAAAATTAGAAACAGGATAACTGGAAGAAAAACAAGATAAAACTATGAGAGGAGGAGCGAGTAGTTACTAAGTGCAGAAATCTCTAATGAGCCCAGTGAAGGAAATACGAGGGGGTCTGTAGACTGACTGAGCAGTTTCTTGGGCACGGCGCTCGCGGGGCGCAGCAGCCCCTGCTCAGGCACCCGTGGTCTCACGCAGTGCTGTGCCAGCCAAGCGCCGGGGAGTCACTTCTGGGAAAACTCTTTCTAATGGTGCTGCTCCAAACAAGCCCCTAAAACTCCAGTGAAACTCTCGCATCTAAAAAATTCAGAAGAGCTTGTGGAAATATTTCTTTGCCATTGGTTCACCTCGCATTAGCGATGAGGAGAGAGCTGGAGCTGACAGAGATGAAGCAGAAGGGGGATTTATTTTGGGAGACGGGGAGAGTGAGTATAAGGAGTCCCAGCTGCAGCCCGTGCTCAGCTAAAGCCTCGCTGCAGACCTGTCCGTGGCACCTTCCGCAGAGATCACAGCTACAGCCCCCGCTGTGACACGGAGACAGGGATGGCTGCAGCCAGCGGCACGTCTCCCTCCATGCTGCAGAGTCGAGTTTGGAAACGTCTCCTGCACCCCACCGCTGGTGCTGCGGTTCGGTCACCGCCGGGGGAACGGGGTCCCCGTCTTCAGGCAGCTCTGTGTGGGGGTACCAGGGGGGTAGGACGGGACCCGCCCGCTGCCCCAGCCTGCGATGCTGGGGATATGAAGGTCCGTTAGTGCTCTCATGGCCTCGGGACAACAGTT